GGTAGATTGTTCCAGAGGCGAGGAGCCACCACCGAGAAGGCCCGATTTCTTGTCTTTTCCCTCCAGGCCTCCCTCGGCGTTAGGCTCCTCAGCCTCACCTCCTGGCTTACACGAGTGATACGGGTAGATCTTGGTGGGAGTAGGCGTTCCGCCAAATATCTGACACTTGCTGATGCAGCTGGCTTCCCACTTTTTTTACCTGTCTCTCACAGGAGTCGGAACAAGGCTGGCCACGCATGCAGAATCGTCCCTTCTTCTTGATGATGGAGTGAAAGGAGAAGAGGTGGGGGCAGGTTTGCTGGAAAGACATACAGGGGAAACCCTGCTTGCCTTTATCCCCTGTTCTCTTCCCCAGGAGGCAGAATTTTGTTCTAATATGTGAACTGGGGAAGAAGTTAAGAATCAAAGCCCAAGCAAAGCATGCTGCTTATCTACCACCACATCGTGCTTTAAACACTCTGGATGCTTTGCAATTTTATTATGCAAGCGACACACATTGGCTGCCTCCTTCCCCCCAACCCCCCTGGGCCCCCCCAGCAAGGTGGGTACTCAGTTCTTCTGAACCCACTTCAGAAGGATGGAAGGCTGAGTGAACCCTGAGCAAGCTACCTGAGCCCATTGGGATCGAAATCAGGTTGTGAGCAGAGGCTTGACTGCAGTGCTGCAGTCTAACCATTGTGCCACGAGGCTCCTCAAAGCATTTAAGTGTGGGAGAAACCACAATGGAAGCTGACAGGTCGGTTCATGCAGCTAGAGATGTCCAAGCTAAGTTCCTAAAAGTCTGGATTTAAACTTCTAGGGAAGCAGCCGTGTTCCTTCTGTCTAGGGGTGCCACTTCTTCCCCCCTGTCTTCACTCCTCTTGGAGGTATACAGTGTAGGGGTGGAGCTGAGATTGGCAAGCTGGGATGAAAAACAATATGTTTTCATTTCTTCCCCCATCCAGAGTCCGGTGACCTTTGAGGAAGTGGCGGTGGATTTCACCCAGGAGGAGTGGGCGCTGCTGGATCCAGACCAGAGGGCTTTGCACAAGGAAGTCATGGAGGAGAACTGGGGGATGGTGGCTTCTCTTGGTAAGCCCCCCCCCTCTTTCCTTTCTGATAATGTCTATGCATTAATGCAAAAAGAAATGAGTTCAAGCTGAGCCACCTTGACAGCCGCTGGGCTCCATGATCCATAGGGTCACTTCTGCAGTTTTTATTATTATTGTTGTTGTTATTATTAAGAAGGTTTTCATACTGATCACTTAACACCGGGAGGGTGGGTGTTCTTCAGTGTGTTTCATGAAGATGAGAGGGAAGAGCTAAGGCAGAAACTTATTTTTCCCCATGTTAGAGGAAAGAGTCTAGAGAAGTTACATATTAAAAATGTGATGACTTTAACTGGGAATGGGATTTATTAAATAAATAAAAGTAAACTGTTTTATTTTGAGGAGACAGCAGGGCCATTTTTTTCATTCCCCTCTCCGTTTACACACACAACATTTCCCAGACCTAAAAAAAAAATGTGGACTCCTCAGCTGGGCAGTTTTCTCTGTACATATAATTTTGTCCTCTTCACAAACTTTTTGGAGACCAGATGAGTCCTGGGGATGGATGGACATTTCTGTGGATACTCACACACTGTGGCTTCAGGGAGCATCTGTTTCTTCGGCTATTTTTCAGACCAATTTTTCTACAGGGACCAGGGCCAAAAACAGAATTTTGAGGATTTAGGTTGTTTCCGTAACTCCTTCTCTTGGTTTTATCTTTGTCACACGTAAGGCCCAGGCAGATTTTTGAGTAAGCTCCCGTGTATCCTATAGATCTGCGTCCATGGCTCTTCACATCTCCTCTCTTCTAGGGATTACATGAGTTTTGCTTTTTAACAAGTTTGGAAACGTAGTCGTACATGGCAGGAAAAAAAACCAGAACAAGGTTACAAGCCGAAGTTCTGGCCCTTTTAGGTCTTCTTTGTGGGAAGGCACAATGCTTGGCAGAAATTGTCTTGGGGAAGAGATACACAACGTCTCCATCAAGCTCTCTATCTGGAAGGCCAAGGTGTTTTGTGCAAATTTTGTTTCCTTTGTTGTCGTGGCCCTAAGCCTTAATGTTTGTGACTGGAGACACGTTTTCGTGTTTTCTTACCTGTTTAAAAAAATGGTGGATACTGCCAGGTCACTGAGGTGCACCAGAATGAGAGAAACCCTCAAGAAATTCTGAGGTGGAAAGGGGGAGAGAGAGGGGGGGAGTGAAGAGATCACATAGATCATGGAAGGGGAACCTCTGGATATTTTTTATTGCCCCCTACCAGAATAAGGACAGTGTTCTGGTGTCTCTCTGTCCTTGTCATATCTTGTGAACCCTACACCTTTCCCACCTGTCCTACAACCTAGGTAACATAGAGGGTATCCTTGGTTATTTGAAGGATGGTTAGTTCATTTTAATGAGCTACAATCTGTCTGTAGCCTGTAGTGCCACTACTTGAGGCACTAGGTAGCCACCACCAGTCTCCTCAGGAGTAAGAGGTCTCCTCCAAGGTAGGCCTCTTCTCAGGGGAAGGCAACCTTCAATTTTACTCCCAACGTTTTGATGCTGGTTTTGGATAGGGCAAAAAAGCAACCAGTTTCAACTTCTGTCTCTGGCCAGCTGGGGAGATTTCATAGCTGAGGGAATGTTACAGTTCTTACTCGGTGTATACATAGGTTCTTTCCCGCGTTGGACTTGGGATTCAACTTTTCTGTGCTTCTCATTTCTCTCTAGCAGGTAACGAGAGGGGAAGAAAGGTATGTGTGAAGTGTGGGAATTTATTTACACACAACTGCGACCTTTCAGCGGAACAGCAAACTCATGTGGCAGAAGAAAGCTTGACCACAGAAAGGCCTTTCAAAGGTATCGTGTGTGGGAAATGTTGTGCCTTAAAGGTGGTCTTTATACCTCAGAAGAGTGTCTGCACTGCAAAGAAATACTTTACAAGTGAACCGTCTGGGAAATTTCTTGGTTGCAATTTCCAGCTTGCAAGCCAGCAGAGAGGCTCTGCAGCGGGGGCCTCACACAAAGGTTTTGGGAAACATTTCACCAAGAATTCGAACCTCTGGATCCACCAGAGAGTCCGAACAGGAGAGAAACTATACCGGTGCCAAGAGTGTGGGAAATATTTTACTCAAAAGTTGCACCTTACAAGGCATCAGAAAATCCATACAGGGGGAAAACCGTACCAATGCCAGGAGTGTAGGAAATGTTTTTCTTACAGGTCGCACCTTGTCATTCATCTGAGACTCCACTCGGGCGAGAAATTGTGCAGATGTGACGATTTAGGGTTATGTTTACTTCATAAGTCAGATCATACAAGGAATCAGAGAGTGGACACTGGAAAGAAACCATACGAATGTCCGGAGTGTGGGAAACGTTTTGTTAGGAATTCACAGCTCCTTTCCCATAAAACAGTACACACAGGGGAGAAACCATACAAATGCCAGGAGTGTTGGAAGTCTTTTGCTCAGAAATCAGACCTTATGAGGCACCAGAGAGTCCACACAGGAGAGAAACCATACAGATGCCAGGAATGCGGGAACTATTTTGCCAGAAATTCACATCTCCTATCCCATAGAAGAGTCCATACGGGGGAGAAGCCATGGAGATGCCAAGACTGTGGGAAGTGTTTCAGTCAAAGCTCAGACCTTATCAGGCACTGGAGAGTCCATACTGGAGAGAAACCTTACAAATGCCAAGAGTGTGAGAAATGTTTTTCTCAGAGTTCCAAGCTTCTTGTGCACCAGAGAGTCCACTCGGGAGAGAAACCCTACAAATGCCAGGAGTGCGGGAAATGTTTCACCCAGAGTTCCAAGCTTCTTGTGCACCAGAGAGTCCATTCAAAACCATACACATGTCAGGAGTGTGGGAAATGTTTTGCTGATAATTCACAGCTTGTTGTCCACCGGAGAGTCCACGCAGGAGAGAAGCCATACAAATGCCAGGAGTGCGGGAAATGTTTCACCAGCACTTCAACTCTTCGGAGCCACCGGAGAGTCCACACAGGAGTCAAACGATTTAAATGTGAGGAGTGTGGGAAGTGTTACGCTCGCAATACAAATCTTGTGAAGCACTGGAAAGTCCATGTAGGTAGGAACTTGAAGAAATGACAGGAAAGTGAAGTACCTTTTTGCTTCTTATGGAAAACATAGGAGACTCTACACTGAAGACAAACCATTTCTGTTCTGGGACACTGCAAATAATTTCTGTTACGGTGCTTACCTTGTCAACCATCAGAGAAACCTTACAAGTGTCCAAAGGGTGCTTTTTGTGTGTGTCATTATTCACAGTTTGTGGTTAACCAGAATATTCATAGAATATTCATAGAAGTAGGAAGTCACTTCATATCAGTGGTATGAAATGTGTTTTCCTTATAGTTCAGAACTTGTGACCCATCAGGTAGAATAAGAAGATTCATTCAATTATCTTGAAAGTGGGAAGTGTTTTGCTTAGAACATGAGTCTTATAGTCCACCTAAGGGTTCATAAAGGAGAAAAACTATACCAAAACTGTTCTGCAAAAAATGAAGATTAGATAAACCTTCCAAAGAGATACGGCAGAAACTGCTGGCAATGTAATGTTAGTGTTTCATAGAGATATTTGATGCTGTCATCTCCATCAGCAGCTTCTGTTTAGCTGCCTTATTTGAGGTACAGTGGTGCCTCGCACAGCGAGGTTAATCCGTTCTGGATTAACCCTCGCTGTGTGAAAACATCGCTGAGCGGGGCAGAAAAGCCCATTGGAACGCATTAAACAGTGTTTAATGCGTTCCAATCAGCTGCTGTAGTCACCGTTCAGCGATGTTTCTCTGATGGCCGGCAGCCATTTTCACGCCCTCCCCTCGCTTAACAAGGGCGCGAAAACGCTGCGCGCGGCCATTTTGCAGCTTCCGGTGGCCATTTTGTAGCCGCTGAACAGCTGATCGGCGGGTCGCAAAGCGAAGGTCGGTAAGCGAACCGCTTACTGACCTTCGCTCTGCGATTTTTTTCCCTATTGAGGCATCGGTATGTGATCGCATTTGCGATCGCAAAACCGGCCTCGTAGAGCGAATTCATCGCTCTACGGTGCACTCGTTATGCGAGGCACCACTGTACATTAATTTTGCTTTAGACAATTCTTCATCCGGTTGTGTACTCCTGTGATATGAAGGCCACCTTATGGCTGGTACAGGTGGATCCTGTTGCCTTTGATGTAGAAAAAATGACATCTAGTACATGGCTAAAAGGACAATACTCTCCATCTCTCCCTCCATGGTCTGAAGATCTCGCTGCTCTATCCATATCAGAGTGCATATCTTAGGCTTTCCAGCTTCCTCTTGATACAGTTCTGTGTAAATGGTCTGCTTATATTATATACTTCATTTGTAATGGCTGTTGTTTGTTATCATTCCGCTGTTACAGTGTGCTGTTTTTCATTCCTCATTGTTTGCTTTCCCCCTTTGTTTAGAATGGTAATAATACTCAAGAATGGCTTGAGTGACAGGCCATTTACATGCTGTGACTAGTCTTCAAGAATGTTATTTAAATTAATTTTTGGACGTGTGATTACCTTAGTGTTATTCTTTGGCTTCAGTCTTATTTTTTATATTTAAAAATTATCCTGGTCTTGTTTTCAGAGAGAGACTGGAGATTTCCATGCCCTGCTTCCCCTTATGTAGTCTCTTTGACTTCTTTATCGACAATCTGGGATTTCTGCTTGGTTGCCTCAAATACATATTTGCAATCAACAAAATATTTATTTCACAGAATACTGGGAATTGTTCTTCCTTTCTGACTCCTAGTCCAAACTCTCCAGCCATGTTTGGTTCTGTTTTATTTCTTCCTTTTGTTTTCCAGGCACCAGTGATGGGTTTATAAGGCCCTAATCTGGTCCATTTTAGTTCACTCACATCAAATGGGTGTATCATTTAAATGTTCACATTCTGACCGTTTCAAGCTTCACATTGCTTTTTATTTCTCACTTTCTGAGTTCCAGTTCCAGCCATTTTGTTGCTGATCAGTAGCAATGTTTCCAGAATTTCTCTGTCCTGTCGTCGTTAGAACTATCTTCTCTTCTGCTGATGTGGCTGTTAGTTCTTGGAGTGAATGGGTGTCTCTTAGTCTGGTGTCTAAGTTTTGAATGACCTTGCTCGGACTTGTAACAGAGTCTAGCCACCTGATGATACATTCCTTAGCTTCCCAATTACAGTGGTGCCTCGCTTAAAGACGATAATCCATTCCAGGAAAATCGCTGTTAAGTGAAAACATCGTAAAGCGGAAAAAAACCCATTGAAACGCATTGAAATCCCTTCAATGCGTTCCAGTGGGGTCAAAACTCACCGTCCAGCGAAGATCCTCCATAGGGCAGCCATTCTCGCTGCCTGTCTTACGTCCCAGAAAACAGCGGGGAGCTATTTTGTTTACCCGGCGGTAATTTTGAAACCGCTGATCAGCTGTTTTAAAATTGTCATTTTGCGAAGAATCGGTTCCCGAAGCAGGGGACCAATCATCGCAAAGTGAAAAAAACCCATTTAGACCATCATTTTGCGATTGCAATTGTGATTGCAAAAAGATCGTCGTACTGTGGTTTCATCGTAATTCGGGGCAATCGTAAAGTGAGGCACGACTGTATAATCCTTTTGGAGAACTTCAAAGCCAACTACCAGTTTTCATTATTCTTAAATTTCATTTTGCAGTTATGCTTCTGCTGTGTTCAGTGAGCAGACATTGTTACAGGCATTGATTACATAAGACGGACACCTTTAAAAAAATTGAATGATACTTTGCAATAAAAGAGTGTCACAGAACTGAATGCTGCTTTGTGGAATTGAAAAATGCCCTTCTCAGAACTCAGGAAAATGCAGCGATTTTCAGAAATCTGCCAATGTAAAAGTCGGCTGCTGCCACTCGAATGAGAAGGAAGGTAAGGTCTCTCCCAACACTGGGTTCTTTTCCCTTTCAACAGCTTATGTTGGGTCTTACCTGGGAATTTATGTATACAAAGTAAGTGCTTTGCCATTGATTTCTGGCCTCTGTTAGTCCAATTACGTTTTATCTGCCAATTCCTTAGGGCATCTGCTGAGGACATGGTGTGGAAAATAGCAAAATATCAGCAGCAGGCCAATGGGTCGGCCAGATAAGAAGTCCAGGGCCTCCCAATGTAAACAAGATGTGAGATGGTTTTGATACAGGGATCAGGCTGGACCAGACATCCAGAGAAGGAACAGCTGCAGAGCCTGTGTAGAGGCTTTTTCTCCCTTTTTGATCTTGTGTCTCTAAAGAGCCTCTACTTCTCACTCCAGTCAGTCCTCAAACACACACAAAATACAGAGGGGGAGGGGCTTTATTCCTGTACTTGATCAACAAAATATTATATTCAGTGGGCATCAAGGACTGTGAAGTGCAGCAACATCTGGAGCTTTGGACCACTCACGTTCTCCAGGAGATGTAAAGCTTCCATTTCGGCGTCTTCCTCTACCTTAGTTAAGCACGATAAGATACAACTCCTCGGTTCCAAAGAGACCATCCTCAAGCAATGGGTTTTGAAAAGTGCTCAAAAAGGAACCTTCAAATATGGTGTTTCCACCTGGGTCAAGAGTTTGGGTATGCCCCACACTGGACTACTCTACTGCAGGGAACAGGGAAGATGAAGTGCCCTTTTCTGCAGTGGAAGGAGGGTAGCATAGTCCCACCCAATAACATGAGATATAGGTGCGTATAGATATAGGTAGATATCCTATGCTGTGGGTCTTGATCCTGGCAAGAGTTACCTATAGTTCGATCCTGGGAGTGGTTTAATGAGCTCTCTCTCTGTGTGGATACAGTATTTCACTGAAGTGATCACACCCCCTCACATTTCATAAATATTTTAGTATATCTTCATGTGAAAACACTGAAGAAATGACACTTGGCTACAATGTAAAGCAGTAAGTATACAGCTTGTATAATAGTGTAAAAGTGCTGTCCCCTCAAAACAACGCAGCGTGCAGCCATTAATGTCTAAACCGCTGGCAACAAAAGTGAGTACACCCTTAGGTGACAATGTCCAAATTGGGCCCAAGTAGCCATTTTCCCTCCCTGGTGTCATGAGACCTGTTAGTGTCCAATTTGGTATCATGAGAGCCATTATGCCCAAATTGGACATTGCCACTTAGGGGTGTACAACACATTCACACTGTTATACAAACTGTACACGGGCTGCTTTACATTGTAGCCAACTGTCATTTCTTCAGTGTTGTCACATGAAAAGATATACTAAAATATTCTGTGATATACTGTAACTAGTTTTATTTTCATGGAGTCTGGTTAATGAACTGTGAAAGTCTGCACTCAGGAGAAGGCAATTCAAAATGGATTATTAACAGGTTGGTCCTGACAGTGAAGTAAGTAGACAGAGCCTACACATGCTTTCTTTGGCTGCAGAAAAGGCCGCTTTGTGACAAGTTCAATGTTTCCTCATCGTAAGCTGTTTCTCCCCTACACCTGTACTTGGTTTTTGTACTTGCAGAATGTGTGATATAATACTGTATATTGTAACTGTGAGGTTTTTATTATACAGCTGAAGTCTCATTTGCTCTGATTTTCTAGTCACCATTTAATGTGTATCGTCGTCGTCGTTTAGTTGTGTCTGACTCCGTCACCATTTAATGTGTATCGTCGTTGTCGTTGTTTAGTCGTGTCTGACTCTTTGTGACCCCATGGACCACAGCACACCAGGCCCTCCTATCTTCAACTGCCTCCCGGAGTTGGGTCAAATTCATGTTGGTTGCTTCGCAGACACTGTCCAGCCATCTCATCCTCGGTCGTCCCCTTCTCCTCTTGCCCTCACACTTTCCCAACATCAAGGTCTTTTCCAAGGAGTCTTCTCACACATTTAATGTGTATAGATATAATAAAGATGTTAAATAGTGTTAGAAAAGTAAAACAAATGCTATTTCGGCAGTATAATAAAACCTTCACACTTACAACATTAAACGTTCTGCAAGTTCAAGAGGAAGCGCAGAGCAGCTGTAGGAAAGCGTAAACCAGTACCAGACCTGACATAACTCTTGCTGTAGGAAAATTAAACAGAAAAAGTCAGTTCACCAACACAAAGCGACTGGACAGCTATTAAAAAAAAACACCTGATGGACCTTCAGTTAAGACTGCCAGCAGGCAGAAGACAAGCTTGTAGGGCATTTACTTGGGAGTCTATGGTGTTGATCCCAAAGCAGCCCCTCTTGATCCTTACTGAAGCGATTTCCCTTTGCAGTGGAGGATCCAGTAGGGATCCTGAACCCAGAATGAGCCGAGGGGGTTGGTCCAATCCAAAACATTCCATACCCTACTACTACAGCTTGTACTGTCAACCTTTGTCTGCAAATGGAGAGGTAAAAATGTTGAACTTCTTGCCAGTGGAAATAGCCATATCTACAACTCAAGCTGCCGCATCCCACTTTCTGCCTACCAAAGCACTGTCTCAATGTGTCTCCTGGTAGCCTTGGATCCACTACCTGCTCAGGGCCCTAAAGTCTAAATTGTGAAGCAGGAAAATGTGTGTCGCCTAAACTCAGACTCTTCTGGGGTCCTGTGTTGCTCTCTTGGGCGGCCAAGAAGAACCATGATTCTGGAAAAAGTGAGCTAACCTCTAAGAACGCCTGTGCCAAATAAGCCTGTTAGCTTTCAAGGTACCACTTAGAGACTCCTGTTGCTGTCAACATGGGAAAATCTTGGGGATGATTTGGGGCTGGGAAGGCAGTGACAGGACAGAGAGAAAGGAAAGCAGGGAAGGCTCAAGAGGTGGATGCCTTTCCTTAGCAGAAAGCTGACTGCCGAAGAATTGATGCCTTTGAATTGTGGTGCTGGAGGAGGCTCTTGAGAGTCCCCTGGACTGCAAGGAGAACGAGCCTATCAATTCTAAAGGAAATCAACCCTGAGTGCTCACTGGAAGGACAGATCCTGAAGCTGAGGCTCCAGTCCTTTGGCCATCTCATGAGAAGAAAAGACTCCTTTGAAAAGACCTTGATGTTGGGAAAGTGTGAAGGCAAGAGGAGAAGGGGACGACGGAGGATGAGATGGTTGGACAGTGTCTGCGAAGTAACCAACATGAATTTGACACAACTCCGGGAGGCAGTGGAAGACAGGAGGGCCTGGCGTGCTCTGGTCCATGGGGACACCAAGAGTCGGACACGACTAAAGGACTAAACAACAACAGCAGCAGATCCTGGCTTTAAAGAGCTTCTCCTCCTTGCCCCAGGAAGGAGACAAGAGGAACTCTGGCTACTCATCCATGTGCTCAGGGAACAGATTGGTTGGGTCTGGGTTTGTCTTGCCAGGACTACCGCTTGGCTTCGGTCACATGATGACAGGAAAGGAGATCTTTTCCTGATCGCAGGAAAGGAGATTGGGAAGAATGGCAGGACTGAGCGGGCTGAGAACCATCTGGGAAGAAGCGGGCCGTCCAAGTGATTCTTCTGGGATCCAAAATCCTTCCCTGAATTCATGGGGCCACCCAGCTCTCACTTTGCATCACAAGAAATAGTTCAATCCAAATTTCTAAGAACTATACGCCAGGTCCCAATTAGATTGCCGTTCCCAGTTGTATGTATGCCAACATGTTCAAATGGAATACTGAAAGTTAGAAATGTTAAGGTTTTATAAAGTTTCATACTTATGTGACTGGTCTAAGGACCGTAAATAAACTATTATTATTAATCCTTCCCTGAAAGCCAAGAGGGAGCAGGAGATCCTGTTAACTCTTAAGGCAGAACAACCAATATTTCTTTCTGGTGTTCCATCGAAGGGTTAAATGCATTCGAGTCGGAACTTCCTAGAGGGGAACGGGTGAGCTGCGCAGGAAAGTGACGAATCCCTCAGCAGGAAGTGTCCGCTTTCACAAAACGTCCCCTAGGCCTCCTCTTTTCATTGGTTCCCAACCATTGTTAGTCGGATGTTTTTGAACTGCAACTCCCAGAAACCCCAGCCAGCACAGTTGGTGGTGAAGGCTTCTGGGAGTTGCAGTCCACAACTCTTGAGTAAGCCAAGGTTGAGAACCAGTGCAGGGAAACGAGGGCTTCGGCTCCTCCTAGTGCTGCGTCTTCATTCAGGGACTCTTTTTTTTGCCAGAGCACCCTCCCCTCCGCCCCAGCGATGATCCCATACAGGGCTTGGAGGGAGTGATGGTGAGTCCATGTGGGGGTTGTAGGGGAAAGTTTGGAGGGAAGGAAGGGGGAATATCTGGGGCTGGGTAGGAGGGGAAGGTGGGTGCCTTGAGCCACTCCTTCGTGCTGCTCCAGAAAGGCAGCCGATGGGGTGGCATTTAAGATTAGATCCTCCCTCTGCTGAGGCAGCCTATCCACAAAAATCAGAGCGAAGTATTGCAGGATTTTTTTAAAAAAACCTTGAATATTGAAACCAGGCACGTTGGAACTGAAGAATAAGTGACTTGGCCAGGGTTCATGACTCTACAGTAGACGCTCAGCTGAGAAAGAGTTAAGTGCAGATCATCATCATCATCATCATAATCATCATCACGCCCATGTAGAAAAAGTATTGAGGAGGACTTGTCTGAAAGATACCTAGCTGGGGGGGGGGGCTTTGGCAATGAATGATTCGCTGTGAATGGTTCGAGGCAGACCTCTTGGAAAAGGGTGTAGTTCTATCTTATTGAAAAGATACGGGAAATTGCCGAAATGGATATCTTATCAGAAGTCATGAAAGATCAACCCCTGCAAAAGGCAACAGAAAGATGGGATCTACTTAACTAATGGACTGAATCAACAGGCAGCAGCTGAATAATATATATTGAAATGAGAACTTTATTTACAAGGCAGAAAAGAGTAAATAGAATAATTTAAAATCTTGATATGGCAATAGGTATAGATTGGATCTTAGTATGTTATCGTCTCCCCTCTTCCTCATAAATTCCAATTCCCTTTTTCCTTTTGTCATCCCTCATGTTAAAATAATAAAAAAAAATTTAAAAAAGGAAAAGGGTGTAGTTCTTTCATCTCAAGTGAAGGAAAAGGGCGGGTTTTAGCTGATGGAGCTTCCCCAGTTTCCTCTTTTCATCTCAATTTTCCTGCCTTTTCTTCAGGGATTAAGACCTGTCACCTGCATTTGCTTTTCTTCTCACGTGCTGTAAGAATTATTAACAGAATAATATCTGGATTTTGCAGAGCATTAGTAGCATCCAGTTCAACTGTTCATCCAGTTTTGCCTTGGGAGAAGGTTAAGGGGAGGCCACTTTTGACCCAGTCGGAGGCTTCTTGAAGCACAGATCAAAGATGCATGAAGCTGGAAGAAGCCCCCATACCATCCAGGAGGAAAACAATGTGGAATTGCGTGAAAGAAAGAGGCAGAAGGTTCTGGATGAGAACACTGCTAGCTCAGATGTACAGCGCCAGCGCTTCAGGCAGTTCTGCTACCAGGAGGCGGAGGGCCCCCGAGAGGTTTGCACCCGACTCCACCTTCTTTGCCAGCAGTGGCTGAAGCCAGAAAGACACACCAAGGCTCAGATCCTGGACCTGGTGATCCTGGAGCAGTTCTTGGCCATCCTTCCCCCAAAATTGGAGATCCAGGTGAGGAAAAGTGGAGCGGAGACCAGTTCCCAGGCGGTGGCCCTGGCCGAAGGCTTCCTCTTGAGCCAAGCAGAGGAGAAAAGGCAGGAAGAGCAGAAGGTAAGAGCACTTCCTCCTGGTGTATGTGAAGCAGGGTTGGGGAGGATCTGGCCTTATACCTCAGTGGGTTTGGGGGGAAATATGCCCTCACTCCCAGAGATGCTGAACTCTTCCTCTGAGAGGTCAATGATGTGAGGGAGAGTGCTTTACAACTCTGTACCAGTTGCCAGAGGACAGATATCCCCATGGCCCTTATGTCTGAACTTTATCTGCTGTGTTTTTTCACTATTTTCCCTCCGGTTCCTTCCCCAAATTCATGTCTTCTACTCTCACCTGCTGCAGCCGATCCAAACTCTTTCAATGGAAGCTCAGTGCGATTTCCTTGAAGTAGAGAAGATGCCGTCAGGCAGCAGACAGAGTATGCTCCCAAGTGGCGATGAAGGTGCTTCTTTGGAGGGTAAGGATTCATGGTGGGAAGGGACACTTGTTTAAAGCTGATCAGTTTCTTTGAAGCATGCAGAAATCCTTAATTTTGGTGCAGGGATGGAAATTTCTTGGCATTGGCCTTTTAAAAAACAATTATAGTTCAGAAATTGCTTTAATCTTCAATCCTTAAATATGTTGTGTCAGGTCAGAAAGTCTGGTACTTGAAACCTATAGAGTCTATAAAGGTCTATAGCAGTGGTCCCCAACCTTGGGCCTCCAGATGTTCTGGGAGATGTTCAACTCCCAGAAATCCTGGCCAGCAGAGGTATTGGTGAAGACTTCTGGGAGCTGTAGACCAAGAACATCTGGAGGCCCAAGGTTGAGGACCACTGGTCTATACTATACTATAGACCTACTATGGATTTCTAGGAAAAATCAGATGCCAGTGTTCATCCCAGCTGGCCTTTATCCATCAAAGAATTCATTCCAGTGTGAACCAGATAACCTTTTCCAATCATATCAGGGTTCCTCTGGGCGTTAAGTTATAATAAGTAGTTTCATTGTTGGAATGATACCAAGCAATATGAGTTTGTCTATTTCTACCAGCTTTCTTAATCCGCATTAATCTGTGCACAAAAGTCCAAGAGTTATTGACAGCATGTAAACTTTTTGAGAAGTCGCAGCTGTTGAAAAAAGGGGGCTTCGAGACACTGAGATAAATAGTATATATACCTTATCTAGTTCTCTTAGGGAAAGGGTAAATGGGGGTTCCTAAGAAAACAAACTGTATTAAATAAAACTGTATTACATAACATACCAAAAGAGTGAACATAGAAAGCAACGACAGCTCAGGTAACGCCAACAAACGGGCAAACACATACGGTTTCTGGCTCCATAACTCAGCACCATCAATGGAAGGTGTGTAAGAGGGTAGAGGAGACAAGGCTTTATAAGCCTAATTAGTTACAGGGAACAGATGAGGTCCTTTAGACATTAACCCTTAGTGAGAAGCATGTTACACATTGACACATATCAATAACAGCCACATTTCAGTTCCACTGAATGGAACTACACCTATAAAATGGTCCTACACCTATAAAATCATGTAAAAGACATCCGTAAGTCTTAACAGCTTTGAAAAATACAGTACTGTTAAGCACAAATGCTTGACTATGAAGTGGTGAAGGTGGCAGGGGTGAACTAATAGATTTAGTGTAACACAATGTAGAAGTGTTTTCGGTTTGGTTTATGTTGTTTTGTGTGTATGTATGTATGTATGTATGTATGTATGTATGTATGTATGTAAAAAACTGAAGTGGTGGCTACCTCTTTACAGAATGCTCTACCTGTGGAAGTGGACCAGGCCCCTTCCCTCCTAATATTCCAGAAGCACATTAAAACGTTGCTTTTCAGGAAGACCTTGAGGCCGTCCTCCTCTTGTAATTGTTGGTCGTGTAGTCTTCTTTTGATCCTTATGTCCTGTAACCTTTATCTTGTCCGTTGCCCTCCATCCGTATTTTATATTTTTGGTCTGGGCGGGACTTGGTTGTTCTCTGTACATTTATTTTCCTGATGGAAACCATGCAGAGTAGCGCCGAGGCCATTAAATGGCATGATATAAAAATGGTCCAAAATGGCCTTAGCAGCCATGGTCACAAGGCAGCACCGTCACCAGCAGGCACCGGAGAGACACGGTCTCTAAGTGACTACCCATCCCTTGCCTAAGGGTTGTCTAGCTAGATTCCACCCAGCCGGCCTATGGTTGCCGATCTCTGACTGTTGTGACAGAGAGTCAGCTGCAGGATTGGGAGCACAGTTTTCTCCCAAGGTGATGCTGTGCTCCCGTGGAGACCCTTTCTCCTGAGGAGCCCTTCCCTGCAGCAGCAGACTTCCTTGGGGAGCCTCGTCCAAGTTTGTGTCTCCTGCCTGACCAGCTCATGTGGGCTGTAGAGGAGGCTGCTTCGTCCTTTGATTGGGCCACTATCCACTAAAGGCCTTAAAGCACTGGGTCCTTGGAAGGCCAAGGTTCTGTAATACTGGCAGCTCTTCCCCCTCACCTCAGGACCAGAGGGTTGGGGGTTCACCCTCAGTGGAGGACTCTACTGAGGGGCCATGATTGACGTTTAGAAGACCACAAGTGAAATACAAGTCAACAGATTTGAGGCAATAGCTTTAAATGCCCTACATCGGTACTCTTAAGGGCAGGCGTCCATTCTCTCTTGCTCACAGGAATGGATGCCATGTAGCCTTTCTAGCTCTTTCCTTAAGTGGGATTAAGAATGTTGCTTATTTCGTAGTCCTAGAATTGTCATGGCTCCATCCTAAGGAATCCTTAGTTTCAAATAAATTGAAGAACAGGACGTGTGGGAGATGTACTCAAAAATGGGCAAAGCAGAGACCATAATATGCCCTGTGTGCCATCTTTTGCCCACTTATGACGGAGGGACCTTGCCATTTAAAGGTGTCCTTTGGTGAGTTAATGGCGGACACTACTTTGCTGTTTTATGTACAGGTTGCATGTATGCAAACATTGCCAAATGGATCCTTTAATCAGCAAGGATTTGCTGCTGCTGCTGCTGATATCATTCCCATTATGCACACTGGCGGGTGCAACAGGATTTCAGCCACTGTGTATTTAAATGCCTGCACAAAGCAGTGTGTCTAACGTGATTAAAAAAAACTAAATTTCCAAATTATGAAACAGTTACTGGATATTTCATTTTTCAAAAGTAGGACGGTCAGCAGCAAAGAGTGAGTAAGTGCAACAAGTGAGTCCAAATTAACATTTAGCACCTTTTCCCTTTCTGCAAAATATAAAACTACTGGAAGGTTTCCTAGATCAAAAATGCATTCCTCTGTATTTCTCAAGATCAAAAGATGTGAAGGAGGAAAAATGACAGTATCTACCCCTTTTTGCTCGTTTCCCTTTCTGACTCTTTCTGGTTTATGTAGAGACCTTTTGGCCCTTCCAGAGGATTTGGGATTCATTATTTTCTATGCTTCTTGTTCCTCCAACAGGTCAGGAAAGTTCTGCCAGAGGAGAACCCTATGCATGCAATATTTGTGGGAAATATTTTGCTGAAAAGAGGATACTTATGCTTCACAAGAGGGTCCACACTGCAAACATATGTTTCAAAAATGAAGCATCTGGAAAAGGCGAGGAGAGCGAACCGCAATTCACGAGCCACCAGAAAATCAACAGAGGAGAAAAAAAATATCAATGTGAGGAATGTGGGAAACGTTTTGCCAGGAATTTCTTTCTTCAGGTGCACCAGCGAGTGCACACAGGAGAGAAACCGTACAAATGCCAGGAATGTGGGAAATGTTTTACTTACACTTCAACTCTTCTTGCACACCAGAGTGTCCACACAGGAGAAAAACCATACAAATGCCAGGAGTGTGGAAAAGCCTTTAATCGCAGTTCACACCTTCTGACACACCAGAGAGTCCACACAGGAGAGAAACCATACAAATGCCAGGAATGTGGGAAATCTTTTAATCGCAATTCAAACCTCCTGACACACCGGAGAGTCCACACAGGAGAGAAACC